GCCACTGGAACGTTCGGTGGAGCTCCCTACGGGGCCACGAAGCGCTGTACTGGTCGGGGGAGTCGCATGCGGCCGCGGCCACTGGAGCGTTCCGTGGAGCTCTCCCTGGGGCCACGAAGCGCTGTACTAGGTGGGGGGAGACGCATGCGAACGTCCCCTCTGGGGATGTCGTTGGAGCTCTCCCTGGGGCCACGAATCGTTGTACTGGGTGGCGCGGCCGCATGGGCCTTCGGTGGAGCTCCCTGGGGGACCACGAAGCGCTGTATTGGGTGGCGCGGACGCATGCGGCCGCTGCCATTGGTGTCTTCCGTGGAGCTCTGTATTGGGGGGGGGGGGTGATGAATTTTACTGGGTGTGGGAAGCGCTTGCGGCCGCTGCCATTGGCGCCTTCGGTGGAGCTCCTTTAGGGGGGGAGGCACGAAACATGTCACTGGGTGTGGGAGCTCCCTATGGGGCCACGAAGCGGGTGAAGGGTATGCCGAAACAAAGACACGCGGAGGGCGCACGGATGATAGGGAGCGGAGGGAGGAGGGGGTGAGGAAGGAGTGAGACGCAGGGCGTTGCTTCTTCAACACAAAGACCCATCACAACAGGATGGTTGGGAACAAAAATAATGGTAAGGTAACCGGCTCCAGAGGCTCGAGCGTTTTCTCTGGCCTGGGTCGGGCAGCCAGCCCGCGCCACCGCTCGCATGCCAGGCCAGCCGCTGCGCTCCGAGAGGCCAGCATGACCTGCCGCCGCCGCGACCGCCGCGGCGCGGCCGCGGCAACGCTTTGCGCAGCCCTGGGGGCCACGTGGCGCGGGCATCTGGCCCCAGCGGCCTTCGCCGGGCCGGCCGCGGCGCCCACCCCGGTGCGCGGGGCGCCGCTGCGGCATGCGGCCGCCAGCCCCGGCCGCGAAGCGCCGGCTCCTGCAGCTGGACACCCCAGTAGCGTGGAGCGCCAGATCGGCGTCAAGTGTCTATTTTGGCAGAAATGCGTTGCGGCGTGGCAAATTAAGTATCAAATACAGAACGGCCCAGATCGAGGTTGCATCAAACAGACACGGTTCCGCCCGAAGGACGAGTCGCCGGAGCAGGTGGAGCAGGCGCGGCTCGCCGCAGTCCAGGCGGTGCGGCGGCTGGAGGACGAGGACCGGCTCGGGCAGGCCCGCTCAGGTCGGCACCGTGCGGAGCGCCAGAGCGGCGTCGAGCACATACATTGGGACAAATGCAGTGCAGTGTGGCGCATTCAGTATACGATGCAGAACGGCCCAGATCAAGGTCGTAGAGAGCGGCCCATGTTCCGACCGCAGGACGATTCGCCGGAGGAGGTGGAGCAGGCGCGGCTCGCCGCCGTCGAGGCGTTGCTGCGGCTGAAGGAGGAGGACCAGCTCGGGCAGGCCCGCGTTGGCAGCTACAGCCCCTTAAGCACATACGCTGGGACAACCGCAAGACGGCGTGGCGCATTAAGTATACGATACAGAACGGCCCAGATCAAGGTCGCAGAAAGCAGCCCGTGTTCCACCCGTATGACGAGTCGCCAGAGGAGGTGGAGCGGGCGCGGCTCGCCGCAGTCGAGGCGCTGCGGCGGCTGGAGGAGGAGGACCGGCTCGGGCAGGCCCGCTCAGGTCGGCACCGTGAGGAGCGCCAGAGCGGCGTCAAGCACATAGGCTGGGACAAATGCAATGCAGTGTGGCGCATTCAGTATACGATGCAGAGCGGCCCGGATCGAGGTCGCAGGAAGCGGCCCGTGTTCCGACCGGAGGACGAGTCGCCAGAGGAGGTGGAGCGGGCGCGGCTCGCCGCCGTCGAGGCGCTGCGGCGGCTCCAGGAGGAGGACCGCGCGCTCGAGCTGAGCGGCTCGGGCCGACGGAGCGCGGGATGCCAGAGCGGCGCGGCGTCCAGCACGGGAGCTCCAAGACGATGAGCGGCGCAGACAGAGGCACCGGGAAGCAGCCCGCGTGCCGCCCGCAGGACGAGTCGCCGGAGGAGGCGGAGCGGGCGCCGCTCGCCGCCGCCGAGGCGCTGCGGGGGCTCCGGGAGGTGGACGGAGCCTTTCCGAGCCCGGATCGGGGACGAGGGCGCGGCGCGCCGGGCGGAGGCGCCCCTGGCCCCGGACACGCTCCCGCAGTTGGAGGTGCGGTTTGACAACCAGAGCTGGAACGACGGTGCGGCGCGCCTCACGGAGGCGCTCCGGGCGCCCCGGGGCGTTGCAGCGCCTCGCCCTCGAGTGCAAGGGATCTCTTCGGGGGACTGCTCGTCTGAGGGCCCCCGGCCCGCGCATGGGGAGGGGGGATCCGGGCAGCCTGCCGCCGGGAGAGGGGGTGGCCCAAGTGGCGCACATGCGGGGTGAGAGGGGGAGAGGGGAGGGGCATTCGGGGAGGGGAGAGGGAACCTCAGGGGCAAGCCAGGTGCGCGCGCCATCTCTGACATCCTACCCCGCCCACCCACGTGGGAGGGCTGGATGACTTGAAGGGGAGCGACCAGAAGGGAGGGGAGTGGCATTCGTCCTGAGCAATCGGGTGGCAAAGAGGAGGGGGGGAAGGCAGGCGCGGTCGCACCTCTGGCTTCGGCCGTGCTCAGAGCCCTTCGGCTCTCGAGGGGAGCTGTCCCGGAGCACTGCACGTTGTGGCAGGGTCGACCAGAAAAAGCTCCACCCTTCGCCCTGACTCCTTGCAGCTCCTCCTCCTCCTTCTCCTCCTCCTCCTCCTTCTCCTCCTCCTCCTCCTCCTCCTCCTCCTCCTCCCTGCCGAAGAGCTCTCCACGACGCACGCGGACAGCGGCGCACGGGCGACACCGCGGCGTCGCGCTCTGGCTGCCCGGGTGGCCAAGCCGTCAAGGCGCGGAAGCAAGGGGGCTGCTCGGGCTCGGGAGGGGCTCGCTGGCCCTCGTGAGGTCCTTCCATGGGTTGTTCCTCCAGCGTCTCTGCCGTGGGGGGCCAGTGCCAAGAAACACCCTGCTTGCCTCCAGGGTGCCCTGGGCTTCTTGCGTTCCGATGGTTCTGCGATGGAGTGCGTGACGCTCCCACACCACAAATGGATGGACGTCCTGGGGTCTCAGGGTTGGGTTTCTTGTGGAAGGTTTCTTATGGTCGGGCCCCTACTGTAGTGCACCCAGGCGTGGTCGATGCCGATGCCAATGAGAGGGTTTCGTTCCTTATCTGAGCGACAAAAGAAAAACGGATCCAGCTGCGCCGACATTGGCGCATAAGCTGTCCGCGCGAGGTCTTGCGTGAGCGCCCTCGTCTCCAGTGTGGCGTGGCGTGCCGCGCCGGCGGCCCGCGTAAGCAACCGCGTAAGGTCGCTACGTCATCTCATGCCATCTCGCGTAGGAGCCGTTTTTGGTCGTCGCCAATTTAGCGTTCCTTCTGGTAGCAGCTTGGTTGCAGGGGATACCCAGACCAATGACACGCAGGCCGCAGGTCCGGAAAGGAGTGGGGAGCGGGGAGTCCACAGCAGAGACGGGGAAGCGCTCCCCTGGGGGAGGGGGCATAGTTTGATCAGCGGGGAGTCCATAGCAGAGAAGGGGAAGCGCTCAGGAGAAGCGCTCCCCCAGGGGACGGTGGCATTATTCGATCGCCCTCTTGCTTCTGCATGTTGTCCCAGAGCGTAGACACATGATGTTATCCAAACGTAGTGAGCACCTGGCGGGTGAAGGAAGGAAGGCGGCGAAAAAGGCGGAGGGTGGCAGGCAGGAAAGGGAGGGTGGAGATACGGGTGGCGTCCCCGGAGCCTTTCAGATTTGCCTCCTCGGGGGCCCAAAAGCCTCCGAAGGTCCAGAAAAAGGACCCCAGATCCCAGCCCAAACCCGTTCATTACAGTCGGACCGAGGTATAAGGTCGAGGTCGGTTCGGGGAGGGCGCCCCAATGTTCGAGTGATCTTATGGTTTGGGGTTTGGCTGGCGGAGGGTCTCACGTTCTTGAAGGATGTCATTCCGTCCCAGGTCCGAATGTACTGGTCTCCGGATCCTGGACCATCCCCAGGTTCTTTCCTGGACGGCCTCTTTCGAAGGCCCACACGCCCTAAACCTTCGAAGCGTCTCTTCCTGCATCACTCCTCGGTCCTCGACCCTCGAGGATCCCCGAGGATCCACCGATCGCGCAACCGTGATCGCGATCAGTCTTCGTGGCCGCGACCGCGGCCTTCGATCGCTGATCAGAAGCGTAAAACTCGAGTTCGCCAGAACTCAGGTTTGCCGACGCTTTCTGACGAGCCCGTCCTGGATTTCGTGAGATATCTGCAGAGGGAGCTCGTGTCAAATTTCAGATTGGGTCGCGCCATTTCCATGATGGCCCCGTCAGGCCAACCCGCGTCCCCCGAACCCGAGTCTCAAGTCTTCCCGATGATCGCCGGCCGCGCAGACCTCGATCCGCGGGCTCCCGACCACAGCTCGGACGGTGCTGGGACGAGGACAAAAGCCGCCCAGGAACGCTCCCGGAGCGTCCTGGAACGCCCCGGGAAGGCCGCGGCGCCCGAGACATCCTCTCCAGAGCCGCCGGATCCCCACCCGATTCTATCCTCGTCGCTCAGGGGGGGCGTATTAACCCCCAATCACCCATCGATCGCCGATAGGGGCCTGATGGGCCCACGCCTTCCAAGCCCGCGCGGATTCGCCATCGGAGGCCTATCGCCGATTCATTGGCGATGCATCGTCGATTCCAGGACGATGCTCCCCCCCTCCCCTGAGCTGGCCCTGGCTTCGCCTGGATGGTTCTCGGTGGGGGCGCCGCGGCCCGCCCAGCGACCCGCCCTCGAGGGAGGCCCTGGGCAGATCGACTAGACGTAAGAGTGACCCTTCGCCGGAGTGACCTTTGGTGCGGGCACACTGGGGTCCCCCGATCGCCAGAATCGGTGCGCTGGCAGCGTCTTGCGCGCCTGTGTTTGGTCACCCCGTGGCCCCCCAAAAGCCGCGCACCAAAGGTCACTCTGACCCAGGGTCGCTCCTGCGTGCAGCCGAGCAGAGAGGGGGGGGGGCCCCTCGTGGCCGCGGGGCGCCATCGGCGGTGCCGGCGGGCGGCAGGCCCGCCTCGAGGAGCACCCCGAGGACGGCACGCCGCGGCAGGACGCCCCCGGCGCGCTCGGGGTGGGGTGGCCGAGGGCTCCAGGGCTCGTTTCGGTCCGGTTCGATCTCGGTGGATTTCGAATTCGATTCGGTTCGGCTTCGGATTCCGATCTGGGCTCCGATTGCTCAAGGAGGCCTTGCTACTCTGCCGACGTCCGCCGATGCGACTCCTCCCGACCTGGCTGCCGATTTCCGCCGATCCGGTTCATTTCGATCGCCGATTCGACTTGTCGAACCGATTCTGGTCCCTCCTGGCACTCCCATATGGACCCTCGGCCAACGAAGACGTCCATAATTACAGGATTGTCCAAACGCACCTCCACTTCCTTTACACCGTAACCCCATACACCAGTCAACCAACGACTCATCCTCCTCACCCCCTGACCCCCTCTCCCCCCGTCTTCCCGTCCCCCCTCTCCCCCACTCCTCCCCTCCCCCTGGGTACGCTGTCGGAGACACTGCATCTGAAGCCCGAGGTCGCGCTCTTTCTTTACCAGGCACGAGGCATGTCGGCCTGCCGCGGGGGGGGGCGCACCGAGTGGGCCCGCGCGGCACCCTCGCAAGCCCGGGGGGGGGGGGAGGTTGGAGCCGGCTGGGGCCAGAGGTGGCCCAGCGCTGGTTCCGACAGGCGGGAAGGGAGGGGGGAGAGGCTCGAGGTACCGGGTTCGGAGCGTTCTGGGTTGCACGCTTCTGTCTCCCGCCTCCTTCAAGCACATCGCCTTCGGCACCGCCTGCTTCCGGGGCGTTGCCCCTCCTGGCCCCGAGGTGAGGCCCCTCCTTCTGCCCCCCTCTCTGTTCCTTCAAGCTGTGCGCGGCCCGCTCCGCTTCGACCGGAAGAGGTGCGCTCTCGGCCCGCGAATCGAAAAATTCCGTCTCCCGGGGCCCGGGGGCCGTTCTCGGGCCCGGGAACTGCCGTCAAGAACGGCTCGGGGTCGAACAACTACACGAAGTGGACGTGGGGAGGGGTCGGGGGACCGACTTTGAGCGGAGTTGCCCTTACCCCCCCTTTCTTGACCGATGCCCTCGGTGCCAATCCGGCTCAGGCCCCCCAGCCGCCTCCAAGTGCGGGCGATGCTCGGCGAGGTGCGGAGGAGCGTGGCATTCTGTCTTGCTCCTCTGGCGCGCAAAGGTCGTTACATGCCGGCCCCCCCCCCTCGGATGACGGTACGTGTCGGGGTGGGCTGGGCACCCCCCACATGTTGACGCTCGAGCGCGTAGTACGGCTCGACCAAAAACAGACGACACCATGCCACCTACGACCCTCCAACTTGCCCCAAGGCCCATCGGGGGCCGTAGCGTATGCCACGCAAACATCCACGCTAGATCTCCTGGTATACGCTGAGCCCCGTGGGGCCGAGGGTGGGGTGGTGTCGCTTGTTTTCTGGCCCAGTGGCGATCACAGCGCATTCCCGCCCCGACGCGCTCCACCCCGCCCAAACATCACTGTTACCCCAGGCCCTGACCTTCCCCCTGGGTAACGACCGTTACCGGACATGAAGACTCTTGTGCAACCGGCTTCTCTCTACATTCGACGCAGCGCAGAGCAACGACCAGGCAGGGTCCAGGCCGGGACGGAGTAAGGTGGACAATATGTTTCTTGTTTCCGTGATGCAAGAAATTGCAGATGAATGGCAGGTTCTTCCTTGGATCGCCGCGGTAGACTTTAAGAAGGCTTCTGGTAGCACATCTCCCGACATCACCTGGCGATTCCTGACAGAGCAAGGCGTTCCAAACTGCTACGTAAAACTGCTCGACAATATGTATCAAGATCAGACGGCTGTTTTGAATGCTGACCAGACAAGCAAGCCATTCAGCATACAACGGGGAGTAAAACAAGGCGGTCCACTTTGTTCTTTGCTGTTCAATTGTATGTAACATAACCGATGATGCGGACATAACAGCAACATTGAATAAGCATCGCATGGGAGTGCTGTTCCAGCCTCACGAATACAAACCGGGTCAAGTATTCCTCGCTTTCCTGATGTAGTACTCCTCGCTGCAACGTCCTCATCTGATATAGGAGCTTGCAGACTTCAGCGCAGCAGCAAAGAACACCGGATTCGCCCTGCATCCTGAAAAGACACTGCACAACGGTCATGCGAATTTTCGTTGTTGCCGACCACCGCAGCACATAGATGCATGTGCGAATGGGATGACAATCGAGGTTCTACCGCCTTGTCAGACCCTGCACATATATTGGGCGCGAGGTACAATTTTCGGATCCTCGCGGCACTGAACTGGACAACCAGGTGACAACCGCTTGGAACAAATTCTTCTCGCTGAAACACGCACTTTTTGGAATTCATTATTCGCTGAACGACAGACTGCGGTTAATTTCATGGATGCGTGCCACCAACCGTTTTTTTTTTCATCGGTGTGAAACTAAGACGCTGACGACAGCTTTGGAAAGCCGTTTACAGAGAACTCAACGACAGATGTCGCGGATGATAATAAGGGTGAAACGATGCCGGCACCACCGCGCCGACAACGACATCGGGCATCAAACCAGCGACGCAGACGTTTCGGGGAACGACGCCAGGGACGTCGCCAGCAACGATTCTGGCGAGCACGGCAGCGACGCTCTCTGCGACCATTGCAACGTTGTTGAAGATACAGAAGACATTCTGGAGCCTTGAGTCGGTTGGATCAAACGTGCGACCACCGAGGCACTAATGCGGATGCAACAGCGCAATATCGAGGAGTGGACACCTATACAACGGAGACGGAAATTTCAATGGGCACGAAAAGTTGTAAGTGGACCAGCTGGGAACCTGCAAATGTAAATATGATAGTGGATTCCCGACAACGACCCAGAGGGATCCCCTCGCACACGGGCTGGGCGCCGAAAGACTTAGTGGACTGATGGCTTATGTAAGTTGGCCATGGCGTGCTGTGGGCATGTGGATTGGCACCGTGTCGTTGCCACGCCGTCGTTGGGCGACTTCCAGGACGCGTGCCTTCAGCAGTGATGCTGCTGCCGTCCCTCCTCGGCCCATTCCTCCCCCCACGCAATGCTTCACATTGTTTCACACGCGTGCGCTTTCGCAGGCGCCTCGGCGCCCCCTCCGCCGCGCCTTCACAGCGCCACGTCGTAACCGCAACCGTAACCGCAAAACCAAATCCCCGCACGGTCGGGAATTTCGGTTTAGCGCGTCGCGCTGCGGGTTCTGGCCCACCACGCTTCGGCGCGACACGCCATCCCTGTCCCCACTTCAAAGCGTCAGCGTCCCGAGCTGTTCTCAGCCTTCCGTCCCGCGGAGCGGAGCGACGCGCCATCCGCTTGCAGGAAAATCTTGTCGTTGGAGCCGTCGCCGCAACTTTTTACGCAAAGGCTCCCGACCGTACGCCGTTGGGAGAAGTGGGGGTTGAAGAAAGGGGGGCGGGGGGGGATGCGAGGGCGGGGGGTGGAGAGAGGGAGCCGCGGGAAGGAGGGGTGGGGTAGGGGAAAGAGGTGGTAAGGGCTGGATGGGGCCAGGACAAGAGAGATGTGCGGGAACAGAAGGGAGGCGATGCAAGGGCAGCGATGACAGGGAGGGGGAGGAGGGCGGTGGACAGTGATGCGTGCGCAGGCAGGAACGGAGGAGAGCCGGCGGCGCGGCGGAGGTCGGCGGGAGAGCCCCGCGCCAGGACCAGAGGCTCGTGGCAAACGGCGCCGTCATGGACGAGGCCATCCCCGCGGATGCGCGGCGCCGCCGGCAACTGTTTGCACCTCTTTGCGTGCCGTCTTTGGTCTACCTCCTATCGTCATCGGCGTGTCTTTCGGCCTACTTCTGACCCCTGGGCCTCAGCCGCCCTAGCCTGATTTTCCTTCGGCCGCGTCCCTTTTCCCTCCTCCTCCTGCATGGTGGCACAATTCGGCCCAACGGCCAACGGTACCCTTGTTCATGCCATTCATCGCCAGCGCAGTCACCCTTTGCCTGGCTGCCGACGTAAAACAAAGAGCGGCCTAGGTGTTGGCATAGATAAACACATCACATAATTGTCTGCCAGATGATAAAACAGCTATCGCCGCCATCCTGCGGATCCTTGGTCGGATTGGCTCTTTCGTCATTCCCATTCTTTCTCTGCAAAAGCATTGGTTTGGAGCCACCCCGCACTTGACCACTTCAATTCAAGGCTGCGCCACCTCCGCCCGGCCCCCCTGGCCGATGGCTGTGAGCATTTTTGGGCGGGCGGACGGATACAGCGTCGCCGATGGACGAATAGAGGAGTTAATGGATGGGCGGACGCGTGGTAATGTATTGTTTCGATGTTCAGCGGTTGGCGACTGAGCTTGCGCATGCTGGCCTTATGCCAGTTGACTCGCCATGGTTACGTAATCTGCCTCTGCATCCCTCATTCAGTGCTCATCAGTGCAATGTGTTGCATTTGCATTCTCACACGTTGCTAACATGTATGATGGGCATGTGGCCAAAGTTATGATTACTAGCGTTTTGTTTGCGCCGCTCGTAATGATTAGTGCTCGATCGCGTTAAGTTAATATTTCGCCGCGCCGTTTATTCCGACTCGCGGCTTTCCGTCTTGGGGAGGGCGCCTCGGCCACCAGGGCAAATTCCGTTTCGGACACAGAGTTTGCCTTGGGTTTACCGTGGTGTCGGTTTATTCTGCCTGGGCGCGTTGAGAAGAAACGGCGCGGCGACATATGTTGTGTCGTGCCTGATGGTGCTTGACGATGAGGCGTGGTGATCAACAGCGGTGTCCAGGAAAGTACCCTTCGCGAGTTATCTGATGTTGCCTTCTCCATGCCGCAACGATCGCATTCTTTTGACATCACCTATGGCCCATGGCGCTGTGTACTTGCAGTGATCATGTGTACTTGCTGGCTTAATGATCTAATTGAGTGGAGCTGGACGGGAGCCAATGCCCCGTAGCGATTTGGGCTCAAGCCGTTCTGGCTCAAGATTCAGTGACCGGCTGGTGAAGCACAGCGTTTGTTTTCGTCGTTCCGATTCTGGGGCATCTCTTTTTCCTGGCCCCGAGGGGCAAAGCATGGTCGCTGTGGTCAAGGGTCCAATGTTTTCCTTGTGGACTGCCAGGACTCTTGTCGACTTTGGCGTGCAGGCTTCGGTGCGGCTGAGGAGGGCGAAGGCCCCGAACACACGCGCTCGAGAGAGCTGAGGCGTGCAGCAGCACCAGCAGTGGTCGGCACGGCGCCGTAGACATGATGATGATCACGGAGGTCCAGGGCATAAGCTCATGGGCGCCAGGCAGGACACGAAATTGGAGAAGCAGTTGGCAGAGCTCCAGAAGAGGCTCGACCAGTTTGTCACGTCCCCTCCCGCCCCCACCCAGCTCGCACAGGGTCACGGTGGAGGTGCAGGGGATGAACCCGCAGCAGAACCAGTATATGATCCTTTGGTCACAAGCAATCTTTCGAATATGATAAGGAGCCCCATGTCAGCTAGAAGCGTCCACCGCACCTATCTGCAAAATCGAGGGCGTCGAGAACTGCTCATAAGCACACGTATAACATAATTCAGACGTGTGCAGTGCAGCTGCTCTGCTGCTGCAGGCCGAGACCATGTTCGACTGCACCGCGAGATTCAAAGTAGCAGCAGAGCTGGTCAGTGGTTGTCTTTGATTGAGAATTGTGCATCGCACCAGTCCGCAACCTCGGGGGAGCTGATACTGGTTCATCATCAGAGGTCTACTCGGCAACCTGGCTCGGCGCTGCAAGTGCTGCTGTTGCGCCGAATTGCTTACCGACGCTATTGTGGCAGCTAGAGAGTTGGAAAACAGTTCATGTTTCCTAGAACTGGCCAAGGCATCAGCATACGATGTCGACAAAGCTGAGATGGGCGCGTTTGGGAGACTTATATTCGAAACCCCGTCCCACGCAGTTAGTGCTGTCGCAGATCGACCTGCTGGTCGATTTGATCTCGAGATTCGGAGCAGCCAGATAGTCCTTGGGAATTGAACACGGACCCACGGACCAGTGACCAGGAGAACACGTTTGCAAGTTTGAGGGCGCCGAGATCGAGCCATTAGCAGTGTTATCAGCGGATAACCAGCTCCAAGCTGCAACTGCTGATGTGTGCCGAACTGTTCGGTTATGCGATGCAGGGCAGCTGCGCAGTCTGGAGGCAATGGCCGTCGTGGGCTAAGTGATCAGGCGATCGCGTCTTTAACCTCGAAGACGCCAAGATCGGCCTGTTCGCACGCCAATATTCGAACAATCTAGCTCCGCACACAACCTGCTGATGCGCGGATGAATGTTTCGATTCGACTCCGAGATTCAAAGTAGCTCCAGAGCCCGGAGGTCATGAAGGTGCATCATCTGACCAGGGGAACGCGTCTGCAATCTGGAAGGCGCCGATATTGGCGGGGTAGCAGCCCGAAGTGATGGTTAACGCAGTTTCCCATTCAAACTTCGCTCGCAATCGAAGAGGATGCTCGGGGGGCGTCTGGCGGCAACTGAGGTCTACCGTTAGCGCCAAGCAGCGCCTGGCGTGATGATCGTGGACGTTGACATTCAATTTGGGAATCGCGATGCGTGCGCCGAGCTCTCGAGCATTGCTGTTGCAGCCGTCTAAGTCTCATGTTACACCTGCAATGATTGCGCGTTGGTCCCCTCCGACAGTGGGCTTAGGTTGATGTCGGACGAATATTGGGTCAATTTGATATGTCAGGGCTCTCGGAAGTCCAGTGGCCGCTTCCCGCGCAGTTCTCGGCGCCGGAAACGCCTGCGAGATTTCCGCGGGGTGGTCGGCGGCAGAAGACAACGCTTCCCGAACCAGCTTCCAATTTCGACGATGGCTGCGAGGCGCGCGCGCGAGGCATTTCGCCCGCGCGCGCGAGGCGGGGATATATTCTGGGGGGACTTCCCGCGCAGTCAGCCTCCCCCCCCCGCGCCCCCTCAGAATCTGAGCGAAAGGGCTGGCGCGCTAGCGGCCGGGGGCGCGGGGCCCCAGGATCGTCGCCGGCGGCAAATGTCACGCGCGCGGTTGCAGCGGGGCCCCGCGACATCCGCGCGCAAACGCAACAATGGCGGCTTCCGACGCCCCGCGCCATGGCGCCAACGTCGTCGCGTCGCCGCGAAGCTGTCGGCTTGCCGATGCGGGCCCGCCGTCGACGCTCGCCATCGTCGCCGGCATCTCCTATCGTTCTTGGCGTTCCATTGGCGTGAGCTTCCAGATGGGAGTCTTCGCCGTTGCGCAGGGCGCCCTCGCAAAGGTCCGAGCCCGCGACGGTTGCGCTGCATTCGCGGGCGGTCTCGGCAGGGCCTCCTGGCGCGCTCCGCTGGCGCTGGCGCTCGCCCTCGCCATGTTCGCCGGCGCGCCCGCGCCCGCGCCGGCCCAAGCGACGCTGGCGCCGCTGGTTGTCGCCGGGGGAGAGAGCGCGCTCGAGCCATGACGGCGCCGGCTCGAGCCACTGGCGACGGGGCCCAGCGCCCCGGCGGCTTCGAATCTCCCAGCGGGGAATCGAATATCGATCGCGCAAGCTGTGCCGTGTCCGATCCAGACGGGGGAATTCATGCCAATGTTTACGTTTGTTTTGTTACGGCAGCATTACCATCGAGCAGACCTTTGTTTTAGAAAATGAGCGACTCCGCGCGGGCCGGTGAATCTAGAGCTGGAGCGGGATAAGAAAGCGGCTGCCCAGCCGTTTGCCCGATCAATTGGGCATTCTGGCGCGGAGCGCGGGTCGCGAGCAGGGCACGCGCGGCGCTGCGCCCAGGCGCGCTAGGAGAATCAATGCCTGGGCGGTCTCCCCGCGCAGTTAGCCCGCGACCCGCGCCCCCTCAGAGCCCCGGCGAAAGGACCGGCGTCTTGACCCGACCCAGGGGGCCTGAATTTTAGCGCGGCCGCCGCGGCCGTGGACTTCGACCGAATCGCCGCCGCGACACCTTCGTGGCGCCGAGTGCCACGGCCCTCCTCGTCGCCCCCTTCCCCAGGAGGTCTGGGGGCGGCTGCGGTCAGGGCGCTGAAAACAAGAATCGCGTGGGGCCAGGGACGAGTCGCGGTTTCGCGGCGGTCAGCAGAGCCGTCGCTCGATAGGCGCGACCCCCTTGAGCTTCTGCAGCGCGCGGCGACGCAATCGCGCAATAGAAGGAACATGCGATCGCGCTGCGACGCCGCCGGAAGTGCTGCGCGCGCGCCCAGTGCATTGTCGCTCGCACGCGCAGCGCAGGCACTCGACGGCCGGTCGCCCTGGACAGTTGCGGCAGAACGAGAGCAGGGGGAGAAACGCAATCCCCGCCATTCATCCGCTGGAGCGGCCATTCGAAGTGCGCTTAGTTAGCGCTGCCTGGCGAGGTGGTCAGAAATCCCGCGGCCCTCCACTGCCAGGTTGCAGGTGCCCCAGGAGTGGTCCAGGAACCCATCGTTGTACATCTGCAGGTTTTGCTGACATTCGCGCTCTCACTTTTGCGCGCTCGCGTGTTTTAGTTTGTGTCTTCACTCTCTTTCTTTGTCCCCCCCTCTCTCTCTCTCGCTCTTTCTCTTTATCTCTATTCTCGCTCTTTCCCGTCGTGCCGCCCTCTGGGCGCTGCACTCTGCCCCGCTCTTTCTTTCTCTCTCTCTCTCTCTCTCTTTCTCTTTTTTTCTCTCTTTTTTCTATGTCTCTCTGTCTCTCTCTCCCTCTCCCTCTCCCTCTCCCTCTCTCTCCCTCTCTCTCTCTCTCTCCCTTTCTCTCTTTCTCTCTTTCTCTCCCTCTCCCTATCTTTT